AGTGGCTGGTTATCATATTGTAGAGACATTTTTTAGATAAATAATAATGGAAAAAATCCCACTTACAATAGCAACAAAAAATATAAAACACTTAGGAATAAATTTAGCCAGAAGGCACAGTGGTAAAGAGCTCAGCTGCTAACCAAAAGGTCGGCAGTTGGAATCCACCAGCCTCTTCTTGGAAACCCTGTGGGACAGTTCTACTCTGTCCTATAGGGTTACTATGAGTCAGAATCGACTCGACGGCAATTGGTTTATATGAGAAAAACTAAAATTCTACTGAGTAACTTATAAGCCTGCATTAAGTGAAGCAACATAACATTCCCTGAATGTTAAGATTCAATTTTTTAAGCTGTCAGCTCTCCCCCAGATTAAATTTACATCAATTTTAATACATATCCTTGTAAGATTTTTTTGCAGGGAGGAGGAGGTTCTTGACCAATATTTATAAAATTCATCTGGAAGAATAACATCTAAAAAGAATCGAAGAGTTGTATGCAGAGAATTGCCCTATCCAGAATTAACGTTGTAAAAGTAACAAAATTGAAAGTATGGAGTGTGTGCTAAAAGAGATGGCAAGATTGATGGAGCAGAATAGAAAGTCTAAAAGCAGACCCAATTCTAGTGTGTATAACATTTATGTTGTTATTATTATATATAATAATATTTCCTTGCTTCTAAGATGCCACTGGATGAAAGGCATGCCATTTTGTATACTACAAGAAAGAAAAATATAATGCCAATTAAATTATGACAAGTTATCGATTATAAGATGCATACTGATTTCAAAAATGTTAAAATATGAAAAAAATCTTAGAATACTTAATAAATACTCAATAAATAAGTATGAACTTACTATATGATAAGGTGACAATTCAGATCATTAGAGAATGAATAACTTTTTGGGTATAAGAATTCAGTAACGATTTGGGAAAAAATTAAGTTGGATTACAAGATTAAATGTAATACCACTAATCTATAAAAGTACTAGAAGAAACTATAAGTTCTTGTATAATCTTAAAATAGGGAAGCTTCTATTTCAGAACACTAGTTGAAAACTGAAATGATTACAATATTTGACTATTTGAAAAATTAAATATTTTACACAGCAAAACTAAGATAATTGGCAAATGACAATTGCAGGGGAGAAAAATATTTGCAAGATAAATAGTAAGGGTAGGGCTTACATGTTCAGACCACAGTGTGCTGATTTGGGAGTCTGTGTTTTGTGGTTGAGAGGACATGAGGCCACACGCAGGATGTAAGGGCTGAGCCCCTGCTCTACCACAAAGCCAGGTGTAAAACTGTGGTTCCTAACAACATCCCATCTCTGGAATTATGGAAAAGGAAACATAAGGATGTGATTTTGGACATCATTTACTCCCTTCCGCCTAATTTCCAGAAATGCCTTCAGTGCTGTCTAGCTCTCAGATCTGTTGTGATGAAATAATGTATGTACAAGTGCTTTGTGAATGCTGATGATACAAGGTAACATTAATAGTTTACTGTTCTGGTTCTCCCCTAATATGGTTTTGAATATTGTTTTATTTTATGGCTGTACATATCCATTTTTGTTGAATGGTTTTGTTTTATTTTTTGTTCTACATTAACCACTTTGTTTTCATATATAAATGATTCTGACTTTGTATACAATATGGCTTACTCTACTATGTGTGGCATTTCAGATTACCAGTATGAAATTTCATTATAGCACTATTTATCTACTCTTCCAGATCATTAATGAAATTGTGAAAACTATCTGTAAAATGTGCTCAAGCTTTAAATTTTCTTATATGAGGAACTCTGTTCTTTATAAACCCTTGTTTTTCATACTTTTTTTTTTTAACTTAGATATTTTTGTTTGATAGAATTAAATTTGCTGAAGGGTATAAAGAAATCAGTGGGATTATCATGAATGCTATATAAATATGATTATTACCCTTTCAAAGGAGAATAGATTATATGCCTAAATGGATGAGTTGTCTCTAGAATCCCTTTTCTTCCCCTAGGCTTAATTCTATGCTGTATATCTCTGTCTATAGTGGTAGGTTACAACATAGCTTTTCTACTCTGAGCTGTAGTGGTTCCAGCAGATCCTTGATATTTGTACACTTAACATTCAATTTCAACAATTTGTGAGCAATTCCAGAGGTATTAGTTAATATCTTTTAATGTAATCAGTGAATTAATGTATTCAGTGTTTTTTTACTGAGGCATAGGTTTGAACTGTGGTACAGGGGAAAGTTAGCTAGGTCATACGCCTAGCAGATTGCCTGATAGCCACATCTCAGCCCCTGTTTGTTCTTTCCTTGTTACACATGCAGTAATTCTGATGAAGTGATTAAAAACAAATCTTGTTTATGAAACACAGCCATCAAGTAGGAGAAAACGAGTAAAAATTGAAAAGTCAATTCATTGTGATGTGAGGATAAGGGCATGAAACACATTACTCTTACTTTTCAAGAAAATGTGATTTGGGAGACAGCCAAGAGGCTATGTAAACAGCTTCATATTTATAATTTGAGGATTCACAAAGGTTGAGGGACATAACTGGTGAGAATGTAAATGGTCTATTGTACGCGTGTGTTTTTACTATACATTTAAAAAAAAACGCATTGCCGTTGAGTCAATTCTGACTCATGCTGACTTGCAGTAGAACGGCCCCATAGGATTTCCAAGGCTGTAATCTTTGCAGGAGCAGATTGCCACATCTTTCTCCAGCGGAGCAGCTGGTGGGACACTGTCGAGCACCTTAACCACCAGGGCTCCCCAACCATACCTGGGCTGTATTTTATTAAGATAATTAATGCCAATTGCCATTTAGTATGTAGTTTTTTCTCCTAATATCCAAATTCATGGTGTCTCATTTAAACCTTTTCTTGACAGTGGAATAAGTGTTAGAGAAGTAATCCCTGCAGTATGAATGTAAATAGCTAAGGATGTGTGGATCATGACAAATTATAGATAACATTGTGAAGAATGGGAATGCCAGAACACTTAATTGCGCACATGAGGAACCTGTGCATAGACCAAGAGGCAGTTGCTCAAACAGAACAAGGGGATACTGAATGGTTTAAAGTCAGGAAGACTATGTATTAGGGTCGTGTCCTTTCACCATACATATTCAGTCTGTGTGTTGAGCAAATAATCCGAGAAGCTGGACTATATGAAGAAGAACGGGACATCAGGATTGGTGGAAGACTCATTAACAACCTGCGTTATGCAGATGACACAACCTTGCTTGCTGAAAGCAGAGAGGATTTGAAGCACTTACTGATGAAGATCAAAGACCACAGCCTTCAGTATGGCTTACACCTCAACATGAAAAAAAACAAAAATCCTCACAACTGGACCAATAAGGAACATCATGATAAACAGAGAAAAGATTGAAGTTGTCAAGAATTTCGTTTTACTTGGATCCACAATCAATGCTTATGGAAGCAGCAGTCAAGAAATCAAACCACGCATAGCATTGGGCAAATCTGCTGCAAAAGACCTCTTTAAAGTGTTGAAAAGCAAAGATGTCATCTTGAGGACTAAGGTGCTCTTGACCCAAGCCATGGTATTTTCAGTTGCCTCATATGCATGTGAAAAAAGGACAATGAATAAGGAAGACCGAAGAAGAATTGATGCCTTTGAATTGTGGTGTTGGCGAAGAATATTGAATATTCCGTGTATTGCCAGAAGAACGAACAAATCTTTCTTGGAAGAAGTAGAGCCAGAGTGCTCCTTGGAAGCCAAGATGGCAAGACTTCATCTCACATACTTTGGACGTGTTATCAGGAGGGACCAGCCCCTGGAGAAGGACATCATGCTTGGTAAAGTAGAGGATCAGTGAAAAAGAGGAAGACCTGCAACAAGATGGATTGACACAGTGGCTGCATCAATGGGCTCAAGCATAAGAACGATTATGGGGGTGGCACAGGACCAGGCAGTGTTTTGTTCGGTTGTACATAGGGTCACTGTAAGTTGGAAATGACTGTACAGTGTCTAGCAACGACAATAACACATACTTAGCTAAGTGGCCTTGAGCAAATGACTTAACCTTTCAGAGACTCAGTTTCCTCATCTGTATGGCCAAACCTGCCTCACAGTGTAAATTGTGAGGACTGGAGATGTTGTGTATACTAAAACGTTTAGCACAATGCCTATCCCACAGTGGCCCCGTGATGAAAGTCAGTTATTATATATTTAGAGACAGAAGTGATAAGGGCTTGAGCAACACTTGTTTATTTTACCCAGAGATAGGCTGGCTCACCAAACTCCTCACAGACAGACAGACTCCTAGGCTCTGATCCTGTAAAGTGCCCAGTTCAATAAGAATTTCTTAAACAATGTTGATATAATCTCCCTTTTTTATTGACTACATGTTTGACTTTCTAATAGAGGCCAGGACTTGAAAGGTTATGATTTTCTTCAAAGATAGATCTGCTTGTATTTCTAAATAAATAGTTACTTTTAGTCATTTATTTGCAGTTTCAAAATTGACTACCAATATGATTGTCCTGGACACATATTTGAAATTTGAGCCTGTCTATATGAATTGCCAGTTTTCTGCATCTACTTTTTAAGTAGTTGAGTTTTTAACTTCTGGTTTCTCCGTAAGGAAAGGCAATCCGTGTGTCCCACAGTTCTCATGTGCCTCAAAATTGTTCTCTTGGCAAACATACAAAAATCCAATTAGTCTCCAAAGGACAAATTGTCTTTGGGGACTCAACTGATCTAAAATTTGCAACAGATTCTGGAAAAAAAATAATACTCTAGGATTTTTTGAACAACATACATTTAGGACTATGTGAAACTAGTTCTCATGTAAATTAGTTTCATTTACTTGTCTAGCTTATATTTGTGGGGGTTTGTTTGCTTATTCTGAGATGCCAAGCATTCCTAACAGAAAAGTGTAAGATCATCTTTGTGTGTCTGTGCATTAAAGTTTAAAAAAAAAACAAAAACTATGATAATTAACAGTAACATTTGCTCAAATTTTTGGACCATTATAGGGGTTTGCCAACTTGTTAATAAGAAGGAGGAGAATACTGGCAAGATTAAGGCTTTCAACCGAAATGATGAACAGTTTCTGGAAGCTTTTGTCATCTTTTGTGGCTTGGGGATCCAGAACACACAGATGTATGAAGCAGTGGAGAGAGCCATGGCCAAGCAGATGGTCACATTGGAGGTGGGCTGAAGCTTACAGGGCCTCCTGGTCTCTAAGATCAAACACACAGCTTTTACCTTTCCTTGTGACAATTCATGATGTTTGTTATATCATTGTGTCCTCACAAAAACCACATAATATAGACAGGGATGGATTAACCAGTAAACATGGTGTGTACCAGCTTACAGTAAGCAAGGTACACATGGGCTTAATTGTGCTTACTTACTAATCTGTAGTGCACAATTTCACCTTGTTTTCACCATGAAAACCAGATGATGTTGTGCACTAAAGATTAGAAAGTAAACACAGTTAAGCTTGTGAGTACCTTGCTTATTGGGCAATCCAGCCCTGGGTGATTAAATTTGCCGTTTAAATAGCTGAGAAAACTTAAGATCCAAAGATTTTGAGAAAGTTATTGAAGGTTGTGTGGCCAAACCAAACTCACACTGTTTTTTCTCCTTAGTCCTCTGTTTTTTCTTCAGAAAGCAATCCTTGGCTTTAATAATCCGTTCTCACAAATGATTACTGATGCCATGGTCTACCTCTCCCTTCCCCAATCCTCCCCATCTCTCTATGGAAACAATTATGAAAAAAAAAAAAAAAAACATTAAAATAGAAACCTTAGGCACTCAGAGAATTAGATGGGAGGAAGGGGAAAAAAAATCAATGAAAAGTAGGAATAGTTTAGTTTAACCTCCCAAATAAGTATGTCATATGAACGAGTTTTACCTTGGAAACTCGTTCATATTACCTATTTATGGGTTCTACTTCTGAAAATTCTAATTCAGTAAATTTTAGGTAGAAGCTGGGGATCAATACTATTAAAAAGCTCTTCTCAGTGATTCCAAATGTGCATGCAGGCTAGTGAACAGTGGCTGAGAAGAACAGTCTTCAGAGGCAGCTCCCTCCCAGGTGGGACTAGCCTACCCAAGTGGTGCCAGCCCTTTGTGGATGTATCTCGCTAACTGCCTTAAAGATGTTCGCTTGGTATAACATGGGTATTTCCTACATCACAGACCAGTTTAGGGAAATAGAGGTCAAAAAGTACAAATGTCTCTACTTCTTCACTCATACACGAGTGTGAAATAAGTTTGAATGTTTGCCTATTCTGGTCTAGTTGAGATCAGTGGAAAATTAGTATTGGGATATAATAACTTTTTCTCTGACTCTCAGTAAATACTTAACCTAAAGAGCTAGAAAGATACACATCATATACATCAAGATTTACCAATAGCTTTAAATTTCACCTTGCTTTCTAAGGCACTTCACCCTGAATATATAACACCACTAGTTGTGGTACAGAATTATATAAGAGACCTTGGATTATAAACCTTTGAAAATCTGTTTCCGATACATATATGCCTATGTATATATATATAGAGAGAGAGAGAGAGAGACAGACCTTGGATGGTGCAAACAATTAATGCACTCAGCTGCTAACAGAAAGGTTGGAAGTTTAAGTCCACCCAGAGGCAGCTAGGAAGAAGGGCCTGGTGATCCACTTCCCAAAAAATCAACCACTAGAAACCCTATGAAGCACTGTTCTACTCTGACACACATGGGGTCACCATCAGTCAGAATCAACTCTACTGCAACTGGTTTATCAAATGCTTACTCTGTATTATAATGCTTATACATGTATTAACAAGTGAGCCGAGGCCAAGTCATTAGAATCCTGGAGCCTCAGTGTTCTCAACTGTTAATGGATGAATTTGTAGATGAGCCCTGCTATCTTCTCAGCTCTTGAATCCTATGAGTGTATCTGGATCCCTGAATCTATATAACGTTATATCCCAGCCGTTCAGTTTTTCCTTATGAATTCTACAGTAGTTACAGGTCTCATCTTGGAGTTTCTTCTAGACTACTTTCTTCTCAAATGTCAACATTAAAATGTCAGTTTATGCAAAGGTTTTTTTGGACACGAGCAAAAATAACTAAAGTCGGTATTTTTTTTCCTTTGCCTAGGTGGTAGGTTTAAAAAACAATTCAGAATAAAATTTCTGCGAAGTTTGAGCTAATAGTTATTTCTAATGTGGCATATAAATAATGTATTTGTTATATCAACAACATCGGAATGAAAATTACTAGAGTTTCCTTTGAACATAGGGAGCATAGCTTTTTGTTTTCTGAAACAAGCAATGAAATTGAAATGTGAGATTTTCATGCTTGTTAAAGAACGCGAAGAAGGTTTGGGCATTCTGAGGAAGCTCGTTATCTCTACAAGAAGTTCCAGCAGAATTCCAAGCTTGAAATTCCAGTCCCCATTTGGTACCCTGTCCTGTATAACCAGTGCTGCTTTTCTTCCCCTGTAGGTTCTGTCATATCATGCTTCTGCAGCAGAGGAAGAAACAAGAGAGCTCCAGTCTTTAGCGGTAATTTTCCTCCTTCTTCTTTTTAAAAATTGCTAACTATAGACATCCAATTAATAGGTAAATATGCTTTGCTCAGGATATCTGCTTCTACTAGTAATGGTCCCCTAGACATTTAATCAAATTTGGTAAATATTGAGATGGACTCTCATAAAAATATTTAATCAACTCTAGTTTCTTGTAGAGGTACAACGTCAAAGCAAAAATAATAACTTACATTGACATTGTAATATACAGTTCTGATTTTTTTCCAATAGTTGTTACAATCTTTACATCTTTATACGAAATTAAATTTAGTTTTCAGTTCCTGGGGAAATGGGGACAGGTGGCTGAAAGGTGGTTGTGTGGCTAGGGTGATGACAGCAATGATTTTATGGTTCATGGCTGATAATCTAGTTTGCATTATCAAGAATTAAGAGTGACTTTAATTTCTGACCATATGGCTTGTGGGGTGCTATTTGAAATTGGGTTCAGATAAGGTTAGTTTCTGATTTCTAATTGTATTCTCATTTAGTATATGGTGGGAGAAGGGCACATTGATATATATAAGTAGGTCTTGGCTGGGATTAATGAAAATTTAAGGTACTTTTACAACCAAGACTAGCCTTCTACTTTTAAATTTATTTGAGATGGACTAGATAAGGTCTATTTGAGATGGACTAGATAAGGTCTATGTGAGATGTGATGGGAGTTGTATAAGGAACGAGAAGGGTGTGATCAGATGATTGATTCTGTGTCATTGTCCAGGGTGGTACAAACGGTTAACACACTCAGCTGCTAACCAAAAGACTGGTGGTTTAAGTCTACCCAGACATGCCTCAGAAGAAAGGCCTGGTGATCTACTTCAAAAAAAATCAGCCATTGAAAATCTTACAGAGCACATTTCTACTCTGACACACATGGGGTTGCAATGAGTCAGAATAAATTTGATGGCAACTGGTGGTGGTGGTCTCATTGTCATAATCGTCACAACTTACCATATGCTAAGCCCTTACATTTTCTCATGTAAACGGTACAACTATGTTATAAATACCACAGTGAAGCCCAGAGAAGCCAAGTGACTTGTTCGAGGTCACACTGCCAATAAGTGGCAGAATTTGGAAGCAAACTCACACAGTCAACCTCCTGAGCCCGTGCATGTAACCACTGTGCTGTCTGTTATGAGCTGTTAGAGAGAAGATTAAAGATTAAAGGTTTTGATGTTGGTTATTCAAGGAATGATGGTGCCATTAATTAACAAAAGTGGAAATATTAAAAAGAGAGACTTATTTTAAGGGAAAGCTGGTAGATTTGATTTAGGACATTGTAAGTTTGAGATGTTGGTGGAACAACCAAGTGGACATCCTCAACAACCAGGCAAGGCAGGACTAGAGTGGTGAGGAGGCGATTGTCAGAACTAAGGTGGAGATTTGCAAGTTAGTGATCCCATGGTAGTGAAATTATGGGGGTGGAGCAATGGGGAGAGAGTGCAGAGAGATCAGGAAAGACTAAGCGCAGAGCTCCTGTGAGTATAGTTTTAGATGGAAGGAGCCAGAAAAGAGACCAGCTAAGAAGATAAAGAAGTTGGTGTCTTAACAGGGAGGAAGGTTTAGGAGAGTGCAATGGCACAGAAGGCAAAGATAGCATTTCAAAACAGCAGATCCCACCAGTTGTTGTAGGAAGGCTGAAATATGAGGACTGAGAAAAGGCTGCTGGATTCAGTGTTCAGGTGATCGTTGAGAAAGCAGTCTGAAGGGAGTTAACGTATAAAAAACCAAAACCTGTTACTGTCGAGTCAATTTCAACTCATAGCGACCCTGTAGGACAGGGTAGAACTGCCCCCTAGGGTTTCCAAGGAGCGGCTGGTGGATTTGAACTGCCGACCTTTTGGTTAGCAGCCGAACCCTTAACCACTGCACCACCAGGGCTCCAAAGTTATAAAAGGTAAGAGTAAATGGTGAGGAAGTGGAGGAAGTGAGCCTAGACTATTTTTTTCTAATAAGTTTTGTGTAAAAGAAGGAGAAAGTGGAGAAGTAGCTATGAAAGGTGTTGGCTGAATTGTGAAGCTTTTTATTATTTCTGGTTTTATTTTGTTTTTGTGAGCAGGAGTTGCTCACAAGCCAGAAGACAACATGTTCTTAGACAAGGGAGAGTACAGGGTTGAGTGTGAGACTCACAATGCAGGACAGTGAAGAGATATGGGCCTTGAAGTAGCCTGGGCATGAAAAACAGACATTTCTTTTACAAACACAAGAGCAAAAAGACAGAATAGCTACAGTTATTGAGCACTTACTATGTATCTGGCATGTTTTAAGTTCTTTGTGTGTGTTAGCTAAGTGTATTGAATCCATAACCTACCTTTAAGGTACATATTATTAGCATTTTGTGAAAGGGAATATGAAGCTAAGAGAGTTTAGATTGTCCTACTCAGCTTCTCACAGAGTCCCTAAGTGGCAACAATGGTTAAGTGCTTGGCTACTAACTGAAGGGTTGATAGTTCAAATCCACCCAGAGTGCCTTGGAAGAAAGACCTGGCAATCTACTTCCAAAAGGTTAGCACAGTTCTAATGTGAAACACACAGGGTTGCCATGAGTCAGAATTGACTTGATGGCAACTGGTTTGGTATTTTTTTCACTCACGTTCTCAGACGTCATAAGTGATGGCGCCACTACTAAAATCCAGTCAGGCCAATTTTGTTTTAACTGGAGTTAGAACAAAAGGACATAGAATGAGAGCTTGTAAACATTCTAGTTACCCCAGTGAGTAACCAGCTACTAATCATTTGCCAAGAACAGCTGAAAGAACTTTATATGATTTCACCTGAAAGGTTAAGCTTCTTTTGGGGCTAGCCTCATGCTGAATTGGCTGTATTTATTTTTTGTATTTCTAATAAATTTGAAGTAATGAGCAATTTTCATTTCCTTACATAGGTTTATAAGTTTAAACTGTCCTTCACCTCAGGCTTAATTGGCCCATTTGTCTATTCCTCTTAGAAGGATATAGTTTTCAACTAAATGTGTACTGTAAGTTGGAAATTTAGCATTTGGAAAAATGCACTTGAAGTGCTTGCAGGCACAGTGGGGTTATTAAGTTAGTTCTAAAATGAAGACAAGGTTGCACTCTGCCATGTGTTGTTTTAGATAAATAAAAACTAGCGAATAGAGTAATTTCTAAAGATAATGCTAAAAAAACACTAGGATATAAACTTTGTTTCTCACTTTAAAAATAGTATAGTCATTCAGAAAAATCTGAAAATTATCCTCTCAATTATGTTTATAATTTTAGTAAGAGAAAAACACCTTGAAATTACTGAAAATTGTTATGTTGCCTTATTGTTCAAAACCATCTGTTGTTCAATTGGAAAATAGGTTTTTGGCAGCTGCATTAGAAATTTAGGGTCACATAGCTTGTAGATCAAGTAACTCATTTAAATTAGTTGAAATTCAGCAACTGATTTCAATGCTAGCTTTCTATCAACCTAATAAAAATTTCTTTAATCGTTCCAACCACACAGGTGTGTGTAATTAGTCTGCGTCACCCAGCAATTAGCAAAGGCACTGCCTTTGTCTGATTGTTTATCTCAGTTTAACACCTAAAACAAATTGAAAAGCTGTCAAATGTTTTCTTAACTCTTCTTTTTAAAAATTTGTCCTTAAAGAGAATTCACTCATATACTTAAGTATACTAAATGTTTATGCCTCTATCCTGAAAAGTTCCATGGTAATAGCAAGGCAATTTGGCTGGTAGGAAATTCAGAGTTCTTACTATTTTTTCTTTGATTTACTTGGGTTTTTCCCTCCGTTTTAAAACTAACTTTCTCTTGGCTTAAAATTGGGTGTAGCAGAAATAGGGCCTTAAACTGACCGTTTTGCCTTATACTTTTTAATGATCCTTGGTCACAAGTTGGAGCCCTGGTGGTACAGTGGCTAAGAGCTGTAGTTGCTAACCAAAAGGTCAGCAGTTCAAGTCCACCAGCCGCTGTTTGGAAACCCTAGGAGGCATTTTTACTCTGTCCTATAGGGTCACTATGAGTAGGAATCGACTTGACAGCAACAGGTTTGTTTGTTTTGTTTTTAGTCACAATTTGGAGCCCTGGTAGTGCAGTGTTAAGCTTTCGGCTGCTTACCCAAAGGTCAGCAGTTCGAATCCACCAGCCCCTCCTTGGAAACCCTGTGGTGCAGTTCTCCTCTGTCTTGTAGGGTCGCTATGAGTCAGAATCGACTTAACGGCAACAAGATTCTTTTTGTTTTGTTTTAGTCACAAGTTGTGGAGATAACAATAAAGGGACCCCAGCTGATTTGGTTATGATTATTAGAAAGTTAAGATAACAGTATTAATAAATGTTTATTTATTTAAACAGCCAGAAAGTTCAGGTAACTGAATATTTGATTGACTGATTGCCTTTTTCTGCCTTCCTTTCTTGTTGTAAGAGCAATAGATAAATTGCTATTTGTGTTCAGTTTTTTTAAATATGCTTCTCAGGTTTGTCATGGAGTCAGTATGGATTCAGTTCAGCCCCTATTGCTTCTTAAATTATAAGTGATGTATCTAGAAGCAAACTGAGACTCTGTTGTGATCCTAAGGCATCTTCTGTATCAAAACAGTGAACGGGAAGAGGCTGACCACACTGGCATGACTTCCTACGACAGAATTCACCTCATTGTGACCTTAACCTTTCAGAGTCAGAAACTGGGCAGGAACCCAGCCCTGATCTAATATGTGTGTGATTGTTTCAGGTAGCACAGCATGAAAGGACAGAGCCGGAGCTGACCCAAATCTCTGATGCCTAATCCAGTGTTACAGTGTAGATTCAAATCCAATCCAAAACACAGAAATTGGCAGTTCAAACCCACCAGCTGCTCTGTGGGAGAAAGATGTGGCAGTCTGCTTCTGTAAAGATTTACAGCCTTGAAAACCCTACGGGGCAGTTCTTCTCTATCCTGTAGGGTCTCTATGAGTCAGAATAGATCTGACAGCAATGGGTTTCATTTGAGTATATATGATTTTGAAAAACTAGAAGCTC